AGCAATATTCGAATCAAGAAGGCGCATAATAGACAACAATATCACGTATCCGTGCTAAAATATACAGTGTATTACGTAGAAAGGAGACGGCCCAACCGATCAGATCGAATAGCACACGTTTGGTTGTTAGATTCATTTCGGCCATTGTTGTTGCGCAAAGTTCTCGCTTCTTATTGATTATTTGTAATTCCTTTTCCAATTTTCGTATCTTCAACAAGAATTACATCATCTTAATTTTTTTGCCTCACTGCTGGCACCACTGCTCTGTGTTTACAGCTGAGGGATGAAACACAACCTGCTTGGCCAAATGCCTGGCTCTTTAGAAAATTTGTTTTAATTTTTAACTGGCTTTCAAAATCTTTTTTTCGGTATTATAAAAGCAGTGTACCTCATTTATGAGTGCTTTCGTGTCTCTACTACTTTTCTTTCGTATTTGTCTCAGCTCCTGCTCATATTTGTGAATAATCGGACTGGCCACTTGTTTCATGCTTCCGTCCAAATCCGCTTCCAGCTCACGCAAATTCGCTGCTCGAACTGTAAACGCATCACCGGCTTCGGTTTCTATTTTTTTCCTGAATTTTCTTTTTAGTTCAAAATTTGGATATACAAAAAATGAGGGTATAGCATGTAGAATATGGTCTTTAGGCATGAGGTCAATATTATCTTGGCTGTGGTCATCATTCCCCTCAAAAATGAGGGACACTGAAGCTGATCATAAAGGAAGTCGTCTGTTTGGAGATACTTGAAGATTCGAAGTTGAGGGGGTGCTTATTGCTGCAAACTAATAATTGGATCAAATCTGTGGATATTTTGCCAAATTTTTCTCTCACCTCTTTATCATCTGTTGCTCAATTTCATCCATAGCACGCACTTGTCGATAAATACCATACTGATCACGCTGCGCAGGAGCCGGTGCTGGATGTTGCTCTTCCCTGAAATATTCAGGCAGATCTGAGGAGAAACCGCTAACTGGGAACCAGAAAAGCTGAGAGGCTGAAATTTTATGGGAGTGTTCACAGCTCACATACAAGTTAAAGATTTCAAATTCAGCCCCTAGGTGAACGCGATACGGCTTGATATTGCTTTCCGTCGGGATCTTACCAGGACTAGGGCTTATTAGTTTCTGGAAACTTAAAAACGAACAAATCAATCTCCTCTCGTTTTTCTTCTTTTTTCCTCGACGAACCATTTTCGGCGGATCCTTTCACACTTCTCTCACTTTCTTTGAACTCTTCACCAGCGATACCCAGTGTTTTTCGTAACGCCTCATATTCTTTCTTAAAACAGCGAAAAATCCTTCCCAAAATACATTTAGAAGTTTAATAACTCAATTTTGGGGCTATTTTATATAGATCTAGAAAAAGAGTTAAAAGAATGCGAAAATT